CAGAGATGATGTTGGTACCTGTAGACGTCAGCGGTGCTGGGGGTGGTGGACGATGGGCGGCGGCTACGTACCGAGGTAGATGTCACCGAAACTGCCGCTACCAATCTTGCGGCCGATTCTGTACTTGTTGCCGACGCGGAGGTCCTGCTACTGTCAGCCTGGGGTCCTGCGGAGCGGTGCTTGGCCGCCGTGGTGACGGCAAGCGGGGTCGGGGCGTACCATTGTCGTCATGCTTGCAGAGGTGCAACCTTGAGGAGGTTGGCCTGTGGTGGAGGGAGGTGTTGAGGGGGGTGGGTCGAGTGTTGTGACGATGGGGGCGCGGTGGTGTTTTGAGGATCAGCCTGCTGCGGTGGACCGGTCAGTATGAGGCTTTAGCCAACAAGGCGGTGAGTAAGCGGAGCGGGCAGCCGAGAAACGCTAGGGGAGGCAGTCGAGCGTGTTGACCGACAGGTAAAGGAAAGGCCAGCGGAGCAGGTGCGTCGTGGTGAGAGATAAATAGGGCACGGGGGGCAGAGGGCGGAGCCGACTGACGAGCTGGGCAGGACTTACTGTAGGGCGTGAATGAGCCCAACGATCAACGATGCCGGCGAGCGTAGGTGCGGGCTGGCGGGCGGGCGAGGTTTGCGACTCTAGCAAAAACGACACAGAGAGGCAGCTGCAGGGCACGGGACAGCACAATAGGCCGGTGGAACAAGCACACTGTGATCGTGGTGCTGTATCAAAGGAACGCTGATGGCAGGATGGATGCAGAGAGCCACTGCCTTGTATTCGGCCACTGTGCTTGGCGCGCTAGCGAGCTCTTTCACCGTGGACTGCTGCCCGCTGCCCGCCGCCGTGTATCAAGCATGCGGACCGCAAATCACATCCCTGAGCCGCTCGGAGGCATCGCGACCCATCGCACCGCCGTTTGCCTTGCGCGTGTCCGCACATGTCCAGGGTGTCACTGTCGAAATGCCACTGCCCGTTTCAAATGCCGTCGCCTGACTGCCGCATCATGCGACTGAGCCACAGATCTGCCCCTTTATGCATCTCGCGCGGTTCACGAACCGATTGCGCTATATTTGACTTTGACCAAGAACGTCCTGCAGACGCCGTCCCGCTGCTAGAATGAAATTTCCTCGTAGCCGATGTTCTGGAAAGACTGCGGCCCGAAACTGTCTCGTGACGAAGGTCGGGTACGGCAAACACATCATAATTCAGACTAGGCAAACACCACTTGCGTATAACAGTTTCATCGTTCAAACCCAGAAATTACCCCATGAAGAGTGTCCCGTATATCCGTACAAGCCCTTTCAACAACACAATAGCGCTCAGCAAGATGCTTTTTTGGTCGGAACAAAGGAAAGCATCAGTCCTACTCTATTTAAGGGAAAAACTAAATACCTAAGAGCCTACATTAAGATAAAAGTTTACAAAGTTAGTAGCCTAACAGCGACGTAGGCTTCTAGGTGTTTAGTCTTTCCCTTGTATAAGGTGGTCCTAACACTATCTCCCGACTCTCTTGCTGTGACATCACATCTGCAGAACTCTTCGGACTATATAGTTATGCCTGCTAACCGAACCCGCTATGCTTACTGTATGAAGCACCGCGTAGCATGTGCCCATGGTCTGATACAGCATCACACCCCGCCTCTCATAGCGAGGACAGTTATATAATCTCCTTTGTAGAGCTGCTCAGCTATGTAAGAAACATTCGATACCAGAAACATCCGAATACCATCTTGACAGCGTACACCATCAACATGTAGTGACAAACAGGTTCGAAGGGAATTTGGAACAGTCTGTAGGTCAAACATAGTCTAGCAGCAGGTGATCTGCATGCGGAAACCGCCTGGTAGATGGGATTAAACCCCACCATATCTCTGATCCTCTTGGGTTGAGCCGAAGTACGCTCCCTGGTAACGTGGTAGCGATCTCTGCGTGGAAAGTTGCCTGCAATTCAGTTGACACGCACTCGCATGACCAGAGCCGCAGAACAAGAAAAATGATATGTTCGTGATGGGTTGATTTTGCCAAGTCTATACAGCCATCTCAGTCGGAGACCTTGAATGATCCTCCTCCTCCGCGGCTATTATACACTGCCTCTGATTGCACTCGTATGCCCAAAGACCGCTCCCCGTATCGCGAAGTATCCGGCTTAGTGGTTCGGCGCCTGGTTCTTGAGGGCTGGGTTGCGCGGGTCGTTCTTGTACTCATCGGCTGTGCTGGTTAGCCTGCGGACATGGATCGAGCTGGATGGCTTCGTCTCTGGGATGGGGATTACGTACACTGGGCCATGGCGTTGGCGGCAGAGTTGACACCGTAGAGGATGACGAGGCCTATTGACTCTTGTTAATCCTGTCTCACACTGCGAGCCCTCGGCTCCCAAGCAATTCCATCTCCTTCCGGTCCATCAATTGGGCTCCTCCAAGTATTCTCTGCCCTAATCTAAGTCGCGCAACGTACCGGAGACGTAGAAAGGCCACATGGGCTTGGCTGTAGTACCTCGTTAGCAATCTTTTCAAGCTCGACTTTCCACTATCTGCGCGTGCAGGGTGTCGTACCAATTTGCGCCGGGAACTTCCTTCCGAGAAGAGGCATTGTGACGTGTGTTGGAGGGGCAATGGATTGATTTGACGGTTGCGGCGAGGGATGCGGTGATGGGTTGAGCTCCGCTCGAAGAACAGCCCTGGAGATGCTTGGCGTCTGCGCACGGATCCCTCATGCCGTTGTACTAAGAGGAAGCAACATCCCACTTCGCTCGCGTCCAGATCACACTTGCGATTGCCGAACCGATCACAATCATGGCGCTGGAAGGATGCGTAGGCTCGCTGCGCAGTAGTATGCAATTACTCGATTCGTCTATCAACATACTGGACCAAGGCGTGAGCGACTTCCCTCGATTGGCCAAAGTACTGCAGACGACACGGGTGTGTACACGTTAAGAACATGATTCTACCTTCATCGTGTTGACCCTGGAACAGCATTTCGAGCTCATCTCCGAGTCTGACCTCCAAACCGCGCAATCAGCACTCCTCTCAGAAATCCGCCCTGAAGTCGATAACCTTCTTAAGCGCGTAGAAAACTACCTCGACAAGCTGGAGCGTCGCGAGCAATCCTTGATAGCGAAATGCGATCTGAACGACGGCAGACTCGGACGCGACAACAATGGCAGCTCAGGCTCCAGACCAGCTAGCAGGACCGCACAGCGAAGCGGAGGCAAGACCATCAGCGCGCAACAAGAGATGAGGATGAAGACCTTGAAAGCGAAGAAGGATAGGCTTAGCTATGCCGTAGAGACGCTAGAGTTGCAGGCGAAGCAGAGGGAGCGGCAGTTGCGGATGAGCATGGCCGCACCGCAGCAGTTATACGATGATTGATGTTTTGCTACATTTGGGCAGAGAAAGCATAAGTTGGCCTGTCAGCAATGATATGGGCCGCATGAGTTCACAAACTTGGAACAGGCGTTTTGGCATAAGATACCCCGGAGTAGTTCAATACAGATACCATATTATTCCCACGTAATTTTGAGGAATGCAACAAAATGCGAATCTTTAGTTGACCTTTGACGCCTGGTGCATGAAGGTTCCCAACAGCAGTTAGGATCAGAACTTTAGGTTGACGCTGATGAAATGCAGCTTGTTTCCCGGTAGGTTGAAGAAGACAGCTCATTGAATGCCTTGGATACGTAGTTGAGCGAAGAATAACCGCTCTCGTGCAGTGTTGTGATACCCAGTTCAGATGGTCAAGATGTTGGTGATGCGCTAGCGTCGGCTAACCCCGTGACCTGAGGGAGCGCAGAACTCGCAGAACACCGACATTGAACATTCTCCGACCACATCTTCCCCACCACCCCGTCCATCATGAGCTCTCTCCGTATCGCCCGAGCTGCCCTCCGCGCGAGGCCCGCTGCCATTGCCCGCCCCATCCAGCGCAGAGGGTACGCCGAAGTCGCCAATGACAAGATCAAGCTCTCCCTAGCTCTCCCGCATCAGGTACGCCATACCAGCTGTCGCAACATGCGGGGGCATACCCCAGGTTGCAATTGGCATCTGAATTGAGAGGCTAACTGGTGGTCAACAGTCTATCTACAAGTCCCAGGATGTGTACGTCTCTCGAGACCCCGGCCGATCCCGCAAAGCGAAATCGCGAATACTGACATGAGATGTTTTACAGCGTCCAGGTCAACCTCCCCGCGGAGACCGGTGACATGGGTGTTCTGGCCAACCACGTTGCCTCCATCGAGCAGCTGAAGCCCGGTCTAGTCGAGATCATCGAGGAGCAGGGTGGCAGCAAGCAATTCTTCCTGTCTGGTGGATTTGCTGTTGTGCAGCCCAACTCCGTCCTCAGCATCAACGCCGTCGAGGGCTACCCGTTGGAAGACTTCAGCGCCGAGGTACGAGCGGATGCACGGAGATGGGGAACAACGACTGACAAAGAGATAGGCTGTCAGGAACCAGATCGGCGAGGCACAGAAGATTGCCAGCGGAAACGGCAGTGAGGCTGACATTGCTGAGGCCAAGATCGAGCTCGAGGTACGCACCATGAACACATCTTGGCAAGAAGCGCTGACAAGACCTAGGTCCTCGAGAGCCTGCAGGCTGCATTGAAGTAAATGTGTAAATAGCGTTCCTTGAGTACGGCATGCGCGGTATGTATAGTAGCAAGCACAGAGCATGCGTGCTTTCCGTGGTCAAAGAATAGAAGGAGCTCCCTGAGGTGACCAAAACATTCCAAACATCTTGCAGTTTCGCTCCTCTTGATCACATTCCTCTGCATTCCGGACCGACCGTACCTTAGCCCACCAGCAACCCTACGAGCTACACTACTTTTATTGTTACCCTTCTATCAGTTTGTCTTACTTCTTTAGCACCCAGTCTTACTCTGTCTTACTTCGTTACAGCTTGTCTTACTTCACCACAGCGATCGCAGTTTTCCTTACACACAATCAACAGTTACCACGCGTCTACAACATCACCCTTCTCACGTCTGCAACGCATTATCCAAAAGTTTAGCGTCTCATGCCCCGAGGCTTCGACCAACCCACGTCAAGTTCTGCGTCCCGAGCTACCAATGCGGGACTACGCGAGCAGAGCAATCAACCATCAAACATAAGAACTAGACAGGGTCGGTTCGAAGCTCCTGCTACGATACCGGGAGCCGGAGAGGCGAAGCAACCATACCCGACCACATCCAGACGCAAGTCTAGTAGTCCCTCAGCTTTGCCCCTCCCACAAGCATCGAGCGAACCTCAACCGCCTCCTTCCGGACGCAAATCGCCTGCCTATTTGCAAGGCAGGAACCCATATGGCCGAGTCTTGGAGAAGGCCCAGCATCCGTACCGGGAGCCCGAGGCAGTGACAACAGCACCTGTACCGCCTTCCCAAGCTGGCTCTAATATCGGTTCACGACCACCTGCGGTGGGCGTCACAGACTCCAAACAACAATCTCTGGCCCAAGAGCCGGGTCGACGCGGCACCCAGACAACATACCCGCCATCAAGACAGCCACAGGTCCCCAAGTCAGTTCGCTCTGCCAAAGACTTCTTCGAGACGGAAGCCTTTCAACGTCCGTCAGCGTCCCGTCCCCCACCTTCAGTTCCTGGTACCAGTGCCGCGAAGGCGCTCGCACCGCAGACCTACCCCTCTAGTTCCTCTCTCGAATCTCCTGCCCATGCTCCCAACCCGAAGTTGTCTTCTACTGCTGATGAGCAAGCCCTCGATACTGGGCTGCTATTGTCTTCTCCCACGGAATTTTACGATACTCGCGAATCTGTGCAGTCTGTGATCTCCTACAAACAAGGCGAAGCCGACGAGTGTGCTCCCATCATCACGACACAGAAAGCAACGCCCCCGGCCGTACCATATGATCAGGGAGAGGAGCAGTACTTTTCCGACATAGAGCGAGAATCCATTGGTCGGCGGAAGTCTGCCAACATCTTTGCAGGTAAATCCGACGGTGCAAGGCTTTCAAGTCTCGGTCAACAGGCTGGACAGGACAGCTTTGCGAGCGATAACATCTCCAAGGCGTCGCTTCCTGACACTGGCGGGGTCAACCCAATCGGTCACAAAGATCCTTCTGACGAGATTGTGAGGCGTCTCGCTACCCGCAGTTCAATACCAGCTGCTGAGACCAGGCAAGCCAGCAATCCGAACCCTCCGTCGCAACAGGAAGGTAGACGTGCGAAGTCTGGTCGCGATCTTCGAAGGACTTTCGAGGAAGACAACGGGATCTCTCCCAAACGGCTCAGGCGCAGTGGATCACACACTGCTTCTTTGACCGAAAGTGGTACTTCAGCGAAGGAACCCGTCGATCGTGTCGCGGAGTGGACCCAGAGTACGGATGTTGGAAGTCCTCGCAACCAATCTGGGAAGTCCTTCGGTGTGCGTAGACGAGCTGAGGAGATCGTGGCAAGGAATCTCGGCCACGACGGTGCAAGTGACATGAGTGTCTCTCGACAAAGCTGTATCTCAGGCTCGATACCAACTGCCAACATTGGTGTCGAAGAGCAGTATAGCGAGACCAAAGTGCCGGACGATGTCGACAACCGCCAAGGGTACGGACGTCGCGTCACACAAGATTTTGGCTTCCCAGGCGCACGGATCAAGTCGCATGGCATCAACAAGACAAGCCGACCGTTACGAGACCCTGGCAATTGGACCAAGCGAGCGTGTGGGCACTTCTCATACATGGGCAAAACCGAACACCGCGAGCTTGCACAAGAGAAAATATGTCGGCAATGTTCGACCCGAGTACCAGTGCTTGAAGAGCTACTGTCTACGAAGCGGCGGACACGCAGACGAGCTTCATCAGAATCGTTGACCTCTACAACCCCTTCATCAAAAATCTCCACAGATGACTGTTGCCGCCGGCAGAGGCGTCGTCGGTGTCACTCTGAAAGCATGTCGCATGACAGATGCGGAGATAAATTCGCTGATGAGTTGGGTCACATCATCGACAATATCCTAGAAGAGCATGCAAACACACTTCAGAATGTCATCAGCAACATCAAGAACACCCAACCCAGTCTCGACCAGCTGCGAAGGGTGTCTGGAGACCTTGTTCAGCGATGCAATACCAACGGATGTGACAGGAATCGCTGCCGGACATCCTGCCGTTCAGCACATGAATCTTGTCGACGAGACGATGATTGGCTTCCACCCTGCCCATATCTCCCACCCAAAGCGGCAGAGAAACTCAACGTTGGGGCTACAGGCCAAGTCAAGCCGAACCTCAACGATCCTCAATCGAGCCTGCGTGAAGAAGTGCAGTCGATACCCGATCTTGTCGACCTTGTCAAATCTGCAGCTGACGATCTTGGCTTCGATCTTGACCGAAGGCCCACCGCGACCGACGATGACATATTCCACAACGCCCCTTACGAGACCACACCCATGGATTCTGTCTCACGTCACACGGATGCTTCCTTTGGAACAGCAGAAAACAGGGCTACGGAGGACGAGCCACTAACCGAGGACAGCTGGCTACAGCAAACACGTAGACACTTGACCGAACTTTCGGAGGCCCGAGAGCAGCTTATGGACGAATTGGATTTCATCGCTGGAGATCTTGACGTCAAGTTTCGAGACCAACCAGAGGTTGAGTCGGTGACTGATTCGGATGCACCACATGCACACCGTGTACTCAGCAAAGCTCCCACGGGTCTCTCGCGTACATCCACATTACAGAGAGACGCTCTTATCGACTCAGTGCAGCGTATGCTCAGCAAAGCGGCTACTGGCATCTCACGCAGCTCTACATGGCATGAGCAGGATCAGGGAGAAGAGGCTGCTGATGACCTCGATTTCAGAAGAGCGCCTACTGGCATTTCATGCAGCTCTACTTGGCATGAGCAGGGTCAGGGAGTGGCTGCTGATGACCTCGATCTCAACCCGGCACAGCGCAGATCAACCAAAACCCCTACCGGTCTCTCACGCACGTCTACTTCGCAGAGAGATGCTATGATCGACTCGGTGCAACGTGTACAGCGTGTGCTCAGCAAGATCCCTACCGGCCTCTCACGCAGCGCTACACGACATGGAGAAGATGACGGGAATGAGGAAGAGAAAGAAGCAGTCGATAATCGCAGTCTCGAACTTGTGCAGCGTGTACTGAGCCCAACCCCTGCAGACTTCTCGCGCACGTCTACATCGCAAACAGACGCCATTGTCGACTCGGTGCAGCGCGTGCAACGCGTGCTCAGCAAGATTCCTACCGGTCTCTCACGCAGCTCTACATGGCATGCAGAAGACGAGGAGGCCATCGAAGACCCCGACGTCGAGCCAGTGCAGCGCGTATTGAGCATGTCTCCGCCTGGTATTTTGCAGGCCTCTACGTGGATCAGGGATGCTTCTGTCGACGCAACACGACGTGTACTCAGCAAGCCTCTTACTGGCCTCTTGCGCAGTACTACTTGGCATAGCATGGGGGACGATCCAGCAGACAGTTCTTTCGTCGAGCCCGTACAACGTGTACTCAGCAAGGCTCTTACTGGTCTCTCGCGCAACTCTACATGGCAAAAAGATGATGATGCACCGGTAGACGAAACCGTTGGTGAAAGTGTAAAGCGTGTACTCAGCAAGGCTCCTACCAGCGTCTCACGCGAATCCGAATAGCAAGAGGATACGTCTGCTGACTTCGATGCTACTCAGACTGGTCAGCACTACGATGAAGACGAGTCGTTCGACGAGCCTGCGCAGCCTACGCTCGAAGAGGTCAACAGTGGCCTCTCGCGCGCATCTACGTGGCACGGTAACAGACTTGTCGAAGACGAAGAGCCTGGAGCTGACGTTCTGGGTCTGCATGAGGATGATCTGGTGGCCAAGATTGTGCAAAGTGTTCTCAGCAAGGCGCCCTCTGGCTTCTCACGCGCGTCCACATGGCAGGGCAACAAGACTGTCGACATCGATGAACTCGGGGCTGACGTTTCGGATCACCAGGAGGATGATCTGGTTACCGCAATGGTGCAGCGTATTCTCAGCAAAGCATCCACTGGCATCTCAAGCAGACCAACCTGGCCCAGTTCCAACACTGCCAACACCGTCGAAGATGAAGTTCAAAGCGTTGTCGATAAGAGTGTCGACGAGCTTCGGCTCAGCCGCGCACTCACTCGGATTCTCAGCCAACCAAAAGAGCCTCCATCTGCTGGTCAAGAGCCATACAAGGCTGAAGACTTTTCGCCTGAAGAGATCTAGGAGGTGCTTCGAGTGGCGAGAGACGAGCTTCCGGCTGCTGTTGCTTCAATCACCGCCGTCTTGCAGACATTGCCAGCTGCTGAACATGCGCCCACTGATGAGACCAGTGACGTTGTGGAGCCCGATCAGCATGTTGAGCTGGCATATGAAGCGCAGGATAACCCGCAGTATGATACGATGGACGATCCTCAAATTGAGGTGCAACTTCAGAGTGAAGTGAGCCAAGGATACGGCGAAGCCACGTCTGATACTTACAGCGACCACTACACTGCATCACCGGTCATTGAAGAAGAACCTGAGTTCCAGCCTCCTGTGCAGCGAATTCGCCGAACAAGTACAGCGCCACCTCTTGCGCAACGACAAGAATCGTTCATACCTGGCTCAATAGCTGTCTCGATACCTTCCAGTTATTCTTCCGTAGTGGAAGATTTACCGGAATCGCCCGTTTTATCACGCACAGCTTCGTTCTCCCCTACGCTTGGTACTCGCCGGACAGCTACCATGTCACCATCTCAGTTACGACAAGGTCCTTCAAGCCCACTATCTGTCGCTGATAACGCATCTGAACAACCCATTCTCTTGAGTCTAGCTTCACGCCAGCCAACGCTTGCAAGGCGCCGTACCAGTACAGCAACAGCCGGAATTCAGCGACAAGACTCTGTTGGGCCCGCTTCACCACCTAGTGCGGATGATTCAGAAGCACAACCTGTGATTTCGCGTGCGACTTTCCGCCAGCCTACACTGGAGACCCGCCGCACAAGCAGTGCAAAAGCCAACAACAGGCGGCAAGATTCTATCGGATCCGCTTCTCCGTCTGCTGCATATGACTTGGAAGCACAGCCAGTCATCTCACGTGCGCCTACACAACAGGGTACGTTAGGGATGCGTCGAACAAGTACCGCAACAGGTAGCGTCCAACGCCAGGACTCTATCAGACCCACTTCTCCATCTGTTTCGTATGACTTGGAAGCACAGCCACTGATCTCACGTGCGCCGACGCGACAGAGTACCCTAGGGATGCGTCGAACAAGTACTGCGACAGGTAGCGTCCAGCGGCAAAACTCTGCCAGGCCCACGTCACCACCTGCTATGGATGATTTGAAAGAAGAGCCCGTCTTCTCGCGTGCAGCTTCTCGGCAGGGTACGCTAATGGTTCGTCGAACAAGCACGATGTCGCCGACTATTGGACGGCAAGAGTCGATGTTAGCCAGCTCGTTGCCTGTAGCAGAAACCTCGCTTGAGCAGCCGGCCCTCTCGCCTGTGGCCTCTCGGCAGGGTACGCTAATGCCTCGTCGAACAAGTACGATGTCACCGACTATTCAACGGCAAGAGTCTATGTTAGCCACCCTGTTGCCTGTGGCAGAGCCCTCGCTTGAGCAATCGGCTCTCTTGCGTGTGACTTCTCGTCAGCCTACGCTACCCGTCCATAGAACAGATACGACATCACCGACTATTCAGCGGCAAGAGTCGATGTTAGCCACCACGTTGCCTGTGGCAGAGCCCTCGCTTGAGCAATCGGCTCTCTTGCGTATGGCTTCTCGTCAACCCACGCTACCCGTCCATAGAACAAATACGACATCACCGACTGCCCGGCGACTGGACTCCATTGTACCAACGTCATCACCTGTTGCAGACGAATTGATTAGGCAGCCAGTTCTTCTACGTGCAACATCACGTCAGCCTACGCAAAGAGTTGAACGTACAAGCACAGTGACACCGGCTATTCAGAGGCAGCCTTCGACTATACGCACCCCCTCACCTGCGGCAGAGATCTCATCTAGGATGCCAGTTATCATTCGTGCGGCATCGCGACAGCCTACACAGGGGTCCCGTCGAACAAGCACGATACCATCAGTTGTACAGCGAAACGACTCTCCAAGGCCCGAAATCTCTCCCGTCCTGTCTCTCGCTGCGGACGACGTAAATGATCAGACGTTTCCGCCTCTTGATTCACGCCAGTCTACGGTGGAGGTCCGTCGAAGAAGCTCAGTACCGACAACTGCTCAGCCAAATGACTCTCCAAGCCTCGAAACCTCTCCAGTCCTGTCTCTTGCCATGGACGAACTGCCTGATCAGCTATATGCATACTCTGATACACGTCAGACTGCGCTCGAAGTTCGTCGGACAGGCACTGCTCCGACAGATGAGCTTGTCACATCTCCCGATCTGTCGCCTGCTGAATAGGATACGCTTGCACAGCCCATGTCATCTCGCCGGGTTTCACGTCAGCCAACGCGTAAGGTAACTATCCGTGAGGCCGAGATTTATCGTGCGCCTTCGCCTGAGCCTCCATCAGACACAGCGGACGTCCTTGAGCCGGCGATCTTGTCGCGTTCTATCTCATCCCAGCCTACGCGCATGGCGAGCATTCTTGCTATATCTAAAAGTCCTGTGGATCCGTCGAGAGAAGCAGATGATGCCGCATCCGAGCCTTCGGTAGACGCAGAAGTTACACAGCGCTCTTTCGAGCGGCAAAGAACCATTCGGGGGGAAACGATGCCCAATGAGCGGCTCACCATAGCTGACAGAACCTTGTCTTCCAGTCTTCCGCTTCGTACTCGTACTGGATCTCTGATTTTCCGAAGTGCCGAGCAAGATGTTGAAGCGCCGCTTGATGAACGAACAGAGATTGAGAGGCAGGAGGTTCCCGCATCAATCCACGTCTCTGGCCGCGATGAGGACACTGATCAGGTTGGGAGATCGCCCACGACCGCTTTCGAGGCTGACTCGGAACCTTTCGCGCTCCATATGTATCAGCGAATGGCCGAGGAGCCATCTGAAGAAGAACTTGAGCCCGAGAGCCAAAGCGCTACATCAGTTGGTGTCAACAATATCGAAGAACCGGCTGGTCAGTTCGAAAGAGCATCCACTGCGAATGTTACATTCGATCCCGAATTACTCGCACTTGACGTCTATCAACGGATTGCCGAAGAACCGCTTGAAGAGGACTCTGAGGCTGAAAGTCAAAGCGCTATCGCGTCGACCAATGTCAACGTCATTGAGGCAACGAGTAGTCGAATCCAGAGAGCGCCGACTGCTAATATATTATCGAGTCCGAACTCTTTTGCGCTCCGCGTATATCAACGCATCGCTGACGAGCCACTTGGGGAAGAACCTGAGCCCAACGCTATTGCGCCGACGAACTCCAACAGCACTGAGGATATGACTAGTCAAATTGAGAGAGTACCGACTACTCAAGTCTCTCGGATAGTAGAGCCCTTGGAACATGTCAAAGCTCGAAGCCCGACTGGCACGATGCCCCCCGTTGAGAGACGTGCCACACAGACTTCACCCGGGTATCCAGCGAACATACCACGGGCTGTAACAATAGCTCGCGACGTAGAGCGCAAACAAAGCAGTGCTGCTCCTGACCAAATCGATAGAGCACTTACCATGCGATCCTCTCCAGCACTGGAGCCTTTGGTATATATCGACCCTGAAGGCCTGCCATCAAAGACTGTCCCTCTCGAAAGAGTGAGGACACAGGCTTCACCTGAACTCTCAGTCGATGTACCACGGGCGTCAACAATACCTCTCGAATCGAATCGAAGACGAAGTAGCGCTGCTCAAGGGTTCACGCCATCCGCCCGAGGATCAGAGCCTTCAGTACACTCCAGCGCCGAAGCTGTGCTCGATGAGACCCCGCAGGTACAGGGAAGATTGAGAGTAGCGCTCACAGAGCCTCGCACTACCGATCGTCGACGCAGCAGTGCGGCCCCTGGTATCACAGCGTCTCCTCCACAGACCATCCTTGAGGGCATAGAAGTCGGAGCGCAAACTAAAAGCCAGACGAAGAAGTCGAAGCAAGGCGCGAACTACCCACCTGAGCAGCAATATCCGCCAGCGCCTGCATATCCCCTACGGGAGACTCCCTCATGGACGAAGCCGGACACTCGGACTCCATCACCAAAGGTGAAAGCCCGTCAATCAAGCCAGCCTGCCCTAGACCCATCAGAAGTGCAGCCATTTCTGGACGCGGCACCTGGGTCGCCAGAAGCCCCAGGGGGAACGCAAAAAAGGCAAAACAGCTATCCGAACCAAACCAGACAGGCTACCTATCGTCGAGACTCCAGTGCCCCTCCTATCCGAAGGGCCGACACTCGAGCAAGACCACCCTCCGTCTACGCTAACAAGGGCGACTACTACCCAGTCAGTCCAATCCTTCCAGACCGCATTGACAACGGTTCGCAGCTCCAGCCTTCACCATCTCGAAGAAACAGTTACTCCATCCCACAGTCAGCCTCAATACCCGAGAATTCGCCTCAGGACGAACCGCGTGCGCAGTACTTCCGTCGCGTCTCGTCAGGCCCGTCCCGCCGCCAATCGCAATCCCACGGAGCTCTCTACATCCAGAAAGATGTTGCAGTCAGTTCCAGAGCACCTACGCTCCAAAATAAGCTGGAGACTGAGGACGAGACTTCTCGAACGGATCAAGAACGCCATGAAGAAGACTTCCAGGAACCTGTCCGGAGAGACGTACGCAGGGCGACTGGCATGGGAAGCCCAATCGCAAAAGCGGAAGCAACGCCCAAAGAAGGAGCTCAGTCGCCTGAGACGCGACAAAAATTTTCTCCAGTTCCCCAGAAAGAAGGCCCGTCAGACGAAGGAGAGTCAGATCATTCGCCGAGCCGGTTTCCGGAACTGTCTGGTGCTCAAGTGCCAAGGGAACAAGAGCAAGAACAAGAGCCAACGGCACGAACCGAAGAACAAAGGCGGACTGAACTGGTTATGGAAGAAGTTCCTGCGCCTGCCGACGCCAAGGTTGCACATGATGAAGACATACCCACCCGCCGTCGCATCGATAGCTCAAGCGGGCCCTTCGAAGATGACAATGCCTGGATCAACAGCACGGTCGACCTCTCGCGCTCAAAGACCATCCCAAGATCATCCACCGGATATGAAGGTGATCGAAGACTTTCAGGTGCAAATCCAGAAGAAGCGCAGATCGCACGAGCAAACACACGTCGTGCAACCTCAGGACGAGTGCCTGATTCCGCAACAGCCTCACAATCTGCACGAAAAGACTCAACAACCGCCACGCGAAGGCTGTCGTCGTCAGTCAAGAGGACGAACACGCGGCGGAAGTCATCAGCAGTCGGAGAAGACAGAGCAGCGCCAATCCTCACAGAACTACCAACGGTCTTCAGAGCACCGACACGATCGGCGACGATCCCCTCAATATCTCGACAAGCCAGTATCCGGCGAGGGTCTGCCGCTCCTAGAAGGGGTACAGCAGTCTCCCCAGAAGCTTTGCCAGACATTCAAGCCAGACCAACAAAGGAAGGCAGCTCAAGATCAACCCCGCGGCAAGAGTCCAGAGGTGCGGCCTCGCCTGTCGCGGTACAACCAGGTCGACGGTCATCTACTGCAACTAGAACAGGTACGCCAATCTCCCGAGCGGTGTTACCAGAATTTGGAGCCTCAAGGAGAGGGGGAGACGGACCTATGTCGGCCACATCACAAGGCTCGCGTGGTACAATGTCGCCAGTCCCAGCTTACGACCGGGGAAATTCTCCTGCCGGAATACAACCATCGAAAGGTTCATTGGGTACAACTCAGCGCGCAGACCAGATCTCAGAACAACAAACCCAGTCAAGCCCACGACCAGAACCAAGAGATGCTAAGCCAGCAATGCCGCGCCGAGTGACCTCATACGGAATGTATGAGTCCAGTTCCAGTGATCCGTATGCTTTACCCAAGAAGGCACCGCGGAAGGCAGCTGCCCTAGCCCCTTCAAATGCCAACGCAAGTCTGTCACCAGCGACGCAGCAGATTGATCCCAAACCTCCGGCGCTCACTCGCAGAGACTCACTAAAGCCACGGCGCAGTCCCACGTCAAGGATATCAGAACTTTTCGGGCGAGAGAAGGGCGCTAGCCCTGGGAATGGAAGCCAACAGAAGCAACAGCAACTACCCCCACTGGGTGCCACGAAGACCGGCTTAGCGCCTGCATCAGCTGCAGCTGCAAAGGTATCTGAGACGGATGCAGCAGTGAAGTCGTCCCAAGCGCAGCAATTACAGCCAGTGAAGGTTCAGGCAAAAGCTGCGCAAGGAAGTGGGATTACGAATCCTCTGAGGGGGCGCTGGGGATGGGGATGGGGAAGATGATCGACTCGAAGTGTTGGAATGAGTGACTAGTGGGATTATGAGGAGGACGTGATACCCTTTTTGGTGCGTGGGAGAGACAGCTCGAGAACCTAAGTATTGAATTGACTACTCCAACTCCCTAATCAGCTCGCATCACCTCTTTGGAACAAGTGATATCACGACAAGTTGCGTCAAAGTCGAGACCAATGGTTCAGCTCCAATCGTACAAGCGATATGTAGTACTGTTCGCACGAAGTTAGAAGGCCTGTATACCTGCATTGAAAAGGGTCTAATTCCAAGGCCCGAGTTCCGTCTTGACCACGTCATTTACATATTGAAATCGCTTTAGTTCCGCGCTATCCCGCACTAATAAGCTCGCTAACCGCATTATCCGGAGCATGAAGGTTGCAAAGGAGAAGAAGCATCGTCCATGGAAAGTCTAAGCTGTCGCTGGACCGAGACGTCTGCGTCATACATGGCAGTCGTCATGGTAAACGCCAGTACTTACAGTACAACCCTGAGCTCAATTCAGCAACAGGTCGCACGATCAATCGCTCCATCTCTTCAAGACCGTACCTGCAGCCAACCAAGTTATCATTGTCGTTCCTGCATCGCACCTCTCTGTCAGTCTAAACAATTGCAATCATGTTCAACACACCATTATACATATTCATCGCCTTCTTCAGCGTTCTGGCTGCATCGCAAGAAGTCCCCCCAGGTGTAACGAGCCTCGGTGGCATCAATCCCACAGTTGTCTCCTCAGCTGCAACCATTGTATCTGCTTCTTCGCCATCTGATGCATCGGCTCAAGCGACTAGCACGGGTGCGGCGAATGCTCACGGTACGTGACCCTGGCTTCTGGTCTTTGTCGTGGTTTAGGGATTGCGGGAGGCGATACTATTAGGTAGATCAGAAAGCTGACCTATTGCAGAAGTAAAATATGCTGCTTTGTTCGGTGTAGGAGGTGCGGCGTTGAATGCGTTCATGTAGAATTATGGTTGGACATGATAAGAATCGGGTGTTGGAGGTAGGTGTCGCACCGTCCGCACCAACAACGCCACAGCGTACTCTACAATCTACGTAGAGCAGAAGACGAATGTCACATTACAAGAATTTCATCGAAAGAAAAGAAAAAGCTTACTTTACCCCATCTCTCCGATTCTCAAATACCCGAGCCCGCAGCCCACAAGAAAAGCAACGTCCCAGCCTCCCATGCGCACCAGCTTCCGCGGACCGACCCCTAGAACGTCATCACTTCCAAGCTCGCATCATTACCCCGATCTACAACCGCGCCACCATCCACGTTCCTCGACACGCCCTTAGCTCCAAAGACACTCCCAAGCCACTGAACAGCCCTGCATCAAAGCATGTGCCTTCGTACTCGTACCTCTATGGTTCCTCCCAACCCACTGCCGTGACATCTTGCTGCGATGAGATCGTCGTCCAAGAGCGATTGTACTCTTGGAAGGGTGATTGTGGCTTTTGTTCTTGACGATTTGGGACGAGAGGCTGAGGCCATGCAGATGGGTTGTGCTGTTTGAGTGGTTTGATGGGTGGAACAGGGCGTCATGGACATGGTTTCTGGACTGTATTTGGAGGGGATAGGGATAGGATGGGATGAGATGGGTGATGCAATAGTATGGATTTGGATGGATGTAGAAGATTCGTACAAGTTCGGTTAACTCCTCAACCGCCAATATATCTACCACCATATCGAGACATGACAACTGAGCTCAAAACACTTCCACTGACTGTGAATACCAACGCATTTGCGAATTCCTTCTCAGGTTCAGGAACGCTGCTATCGACATTGAGTTGTGAAAGTTCTCTTGCCATTTCTCTTTCCACTTCCACCTGGATAGCCAACGTGACAAATTTCGCGGCTTCGTCGTTGGGAAGGGAATAAGTCTTCCGAACTTCTTCCACTGTGTTCACAAGGTAGTGCACCTTTCTCTCTACGTAGGCTCTTTTCTCTTTATCGAAAGAACCAAGGTCATTTGAAATCGATACATGGTCCGCAAATAGCCTGAGAAATTTGGCAATTCTGGGGCTGGAAATGTCGACAGTTGAACAAAGAGAGAACTTCGTACACGCAATGACGTAACTGGAACTTATAATTAGTTTCCTTCGTAATGTGTAGACTATTGATCCGTACTTACGGGACAGCTGCGTCGATCATCCTATAGTCTAGAAATTCTCTCAGACTGTGGAATTCGGTGGGGGGCGGGGGGTGATTGATGAAATCCATCAATCTTGCAACTACCTCGGCTCCTCCGTCACCGATGATGCCATCTTGATCATGAAGGCCTTGGATAGTAGCATGCATGGCCTTCTGCAAGATCGAGACTGGTTCATCGTCTCCGTAAGGCATTTGAGCCTTTAGTCGTGATACGAATTCGTTCTGAAATGTTTGGATCTGCCATTCAGCTGTTAAATATGTGGAGCCTCAACAGTTTGGAACGACTCACTGTACTTTCGTCACTCATCTCCCATACATCTGTACCAGAAGTGATTAGAGTAGTAATATTTCTTGTAAGATTCCGCTTACCATCAAAGATGAAGATGTAGACAATAGTCTCAGCGATGAGTTTCAGTCGCTCCTCGCTTGCAGCCGGCCACAGATAAGCACAGAACCGAGTCCAGTTATCATGTAACATCGGCAGCTCCTTAGCGGCTATCTCAGAGTACGATTTGCCTCCGTTCTTCAATATACTTGTCGCAGTTTGGTCGGAAGCAAAATGCTGTAGCAGCACTCGTGTTGCTTCTACAGCCATTGGCCAGTGTATGTTCTGTCTTACATGGTGAATCGAAGAATACCATGGAAGTTTTGCATGTACAGGAAAGACAGGAATGCTGTTCATGCTAAGTCTTTCACACTCCTTGATCAAGTATCCAGTTTCAATCTGAACTGCGTTGATGACTGGCTCAACACTGATAGTCTCAGCCTTCAGATCAGGGAAGCAGGACAGGTCGACAAAAGGTGGCATGGACGCTTCATTTGTTGGCATGTAGTCGTGACTGTATCTGACTGGCCAGACAAAACCATTGTGGTCTTTGGAGTTGAACAACCCTAATGGAAGATTAGTTTCATCTAAAGTATACGACACGTAGAGCTAACCAAGGTCAATGTCTTGCTTCGCTTCCATCATGACGATCCGTTCAAGAGTAGAGAAGGGAGTAGAGTTCAGGCCGTTGTCTTTGTGCGAATACAGACAATAAATACCTTCATATACGCCTCTTAACCAGGCGCCATTGTTGTAAAGCAGGGGTACTTCTTACGTCCACGTCAGCAGCATAGTCGTGTTCAATCACCTTTGCAATCTTTCCTTAAACGTCCACAGCAAAAACGAAGCTATTCCGTTTCTTTTCATTGCCGCATATAATCATCAAAAGCCTATTGGGTACTGGCGATCCTTAGATAAAGGCGGCGAGCGTCATCAGAATCTCTTGGGCTTCCCACTCCATTCACCACAATGTAGAAATCAGAACTCCCAGCATGCTTTCAGGTAATAATGGAATCTCGGGACTGAATAACCCAAGAGTCCATCGAGCTTCTCTGAAAAGAGATCATCGTTTTGTACATGTTCTTCTAGCGATGTTGTAATGTTGAGCTGTGGGGGTGTTGAGTTGTGGGGGTGTTGAGTTTTGTGGGTATTAATTACAAGGGCACAATTATCTCATGAATCACGCGTTATGGCACTTCACTCACAGAGGTACGGTAAAAGACGCTATCCTGAGAGCGACCCTGAGGCGGCAATATGAGACCCACGCCTGCATCTGGCCGTGCGTTGAACAGGCATCGTCGGAGGGTTGTCGCGCTGCACTGTTGTGATGTGGAGCCCTTGACAGCTCAGCGCGGTACGGGCGGAGCGTGTAACAACCTCTTTCGCATCTCTTCTATATTTAATAGGTAGATTTAGTTATTATATATCTTATATATATTATAAAAGTTATAAGTAGCTTATTATTAATAAGTTATTATAGTACTATAGAATAAGATAAAATAAAACTAGAGTTTAAGATTTTTATATATACTATATAAGTTAAAAAAAAGTATAAAAGCTTTATCTTTATAATACTTTTTCTTTTTTTATATATAATATAGTATACTTTTTACTCTAGTTTATTATTACTCTTATATAAAATCTAAATAACTCTATTATTACTATTACTACTTTTATTCTCTTTAATATTATTACTATAGCCTCTTTAACTAAAGAATAAGCTCTTAAGCTTTTAGTAATTTTATAAGCTTTCTAGTATCTTTTTTATATAAGTATATATACTAAAGAGTTATATAGCTTAAAAATATATAGCTACTACTTAGATACTTTATTAAGTAAGTAATACTACTATATTCTTTATAAGTTATACTAATATTTACTTAAGCTTTATACTAATAGCCTAAACTTTTATTTAAAATAAGTAGATAATAGTATATAAGCTATTAACTTAGATAAAATACTTAGTATACTAGCTTACTTATAAGAAGTAGCTACTTATATATTAAGACTACTTTAGTAGTAATAAAAAATACTTTAATAAAATAAATACTATACT